GTACGCCTGTAGTTCCGTTGATGCCACTAGCGCGGTGTCTGGGAGCCTGGCTTGAGCTACCCAGCCCGTCTCGATGGCTCCTTCGAACCGTCAGGCTCGGCTATGCGATTCAGTCGCCCGGCATCCCCCCCCCCAAGTCAGTGGCATCCGCTTCACAACAGTGAAGGCGGCCGATGGTCCTGTCTTGCGGGCGGAGGTCGCAGTCCTACTGGTGAAGGATGCGATAGAGCCAGTCCCTCCAGCCGATATGAAGACGGGGTTTTACAGCTCCTACTTCATTGTACCCAAGATAGGCGGTGAGTTAAGGCCAATCTTGTACCTGCGTGTCTTGAACCGGGCCCTTCACCAGTTACCGTTCAAGATGTTGATGCAGGAACGCATCTTCGGGTGCATCCGTCCCCGAGATCGGTTTGCAGCGGTCGACCTGAAGGATGCGTACTTCATGTGTCGACCCTTCCGCACCACAGACCATTGCTGCGGTTCGCGTCTGAAGGACGAGCATATCAGTACGAGGTCCTGCCCTCCGGGCTGTCCCTGTTGCCCCGTGTCTTCACGTAAGTTTCGGAGGTACCCCTTGTTCCCTTGAGAGATAGGGTTGGTTCCCTGAGGGGTTTAGCACCACTGTAACCCTCCGACCGCCCGTGCTACTGCCCGAAGTAGCCCTCGCCTGGCTGCCGCCAGGACGAACACTAGATCTCGACAGAGGCAATGGATCTCCGCCCCCCTTGAGGTAACGGAGCCTGGCCCGCAGCTCCGAGATGGTCATCTTCCCGCAATGGGAACATGATTCATCCACAAATGCCACCTCAGCGTGTTTAATGCCCAGACACGTGAGGCAGCGATCGTGACCATCACCCGGTGCCAGGTAATGACCGCATCCAGAAATGCACGGGTGAAACGGCATCTTTAAAAAGACGATCCGTCGTCTTTACAAAGAAGCACCCATGTAAGCTCTTTTAGACAAATAGGCTCTTTCAGGGAAATGCTCTTTTAGGTGCTGAGACGCACAGGGGAAATGGCCGCTTGCAGCACGACAGGGGGTAGTGCAGCCTAAAGTGCGCAACTCACTCGACACAGGAATGACCACCGCTGAAAATAGCTTTATTTGAATTTTAAGCACAATATAACTTCTAAAAAAAGTCCTTAAAATAGCGTCTCGGTTATGTATGTAACCCTCGTTCCTTGAAGGAGGGAACGGAGACGTCACATCGGTGACCGACGAATTGGGATCTCGCTTAGAGAGACAAATCCACTTCGAGTGTAAACTAAATGAGCCAATGCACATTGGCATGCGATGATGGCATCCAGCTGCCGCTGATCACATCGTGAGCATAAAAGGATTCGGAGCATATGTTCCCAAGGAACCTTGGGAACATAGCCGGGCCGGGGCCTCAGGATTACCTGGGAGTCAGCCGGCCCAAACTCTAGGCACAAATCGTCGACCTAAAATGCGTGCAGGTCCCCTACCCTCTTGATGGAGGCCAGTGCAAGCAGGACCCAACTCGGGTCGCTCGTGGGCGGACCGGTAAGTTTGACGGGGCCTGGATGGGCAGGGCGGCCTGTCTACGCCCAGCTCTACGGCACCGCTTGCTCAAGCCTTCTGCGGATGCGGCATGAGAGCGGGGGTGGCCGCCTTTGGCAATGAGCAGGCTGGGGCGCTGCGGCCGGCAGACGAGTGGGGGCAGCATCTGCCCACCGCAGCAGGAAGTAACGAATCGCCTCAGTCTGCTTTTGTGCAGCCGAGAACTGCTGGGCAAAGCTCTCGATGGTGTCCCCGAAGAGGCCGGTCTGGGACACAAGAGCATTGAGGAACCGTACTTTGTCTGTGTCCCTCATGTCTGCTAGACACAGCCAGATATGGCGCTCCTGGACCACAAGTGTGGACATCGCACGACCCAGAGAACTCGCAGTGACCTTCATCGCTCTGAGCGCGAGGTCACTAGCGGTTCGGAGCTTTTTCAGAACTTCCGGATCGTACTCCCCCTCGTGCAGGTCCCTCAGTGCCTGATGAACCTGCAGTAACGCCATAGCGTGTAAGGTGGAGGCAGCCTCTCCACAAGCCATATAAGCACTGGTGGACAGACCAGACGAATTGCCTCCAGGAGGAGGCGGTCTTAGGACACAACTGCATCGCTACCGATCGCTCTACCGGGGGGATCGCTGTATACCCCCTAGCTGCACCCCCATCGAGGGTGGTGAGGGAGAAGGAACCAGCAGGTCGGTTTCTGGCAGTAAAAGGTGCCGACCCTGACCTGGTGAGCTCCTCATGCACCTGCGGGAAGAAAGGCAACAGGGCGGGGAGCTGAGCACCAGCGCGGGCCACCCCGAGAAACCAGTCGTCCAACCTCGAGACGCGGTGGCGCGGTGGAGGTTTCCACTCGAGCCCTACCCTCTCTGCGGCCCGGGAAAGCATAGCCGACATCTCCGGATGGCATTGCTACATTGCTACCATCCCAGAGGGCGGCAGCGCACCCGAATCTTACTCTCTAGAGAGCTCTCCCTCCGATGCAGTGATCGACATCCGTTCGTCGGGAGGAGCACCTAAGGTTACCGCTGATACGCACTTTGAAGAGGGCCCAGTGTGTTCCTTTGGCAGCTCGACTGGTTGTGAAGCGCTAGAGTAGTGATGGTCCCCTGAGGGTTGGTTCCCTGAGGGGTTTAGCACCACTGTAACCCTCCGACCGCCCGTGCTACTGCCCGAAGTAGCCCTCGCCTGGCTGCCGCCAGGACGAACACTAGATCTCGACAGAGGCAATGGATCTCCGCCCCCCTTGAGGTAACGGAGCCTGGCCCGCAGCTCCGAGATGGTCATCTTCCCGCAATGGGAACATGACTCATCCACAAATGCCACCTCAGCGTGTTTAATGCCCAGACACGTGAGGCAGCGATCGTGACCATCACCCGGTGCCAGGTAATGACCGCATCCAGAAATGCACGGGTGAAACGGCATCTTTAAAAAGACGATCCGTCGTCTTTACAAAGAAGCACCCATGTAAGCTCTTTTAGACAAATAGGCTCTTTCAGGGAAATGCTCTTTTAGGTGCTGAGACGCACAGGGGAAATGGCCGCTTGCAGCACGACAGGGGGTAGTGCAGCCTAAAGTGCGCAACTCACTCGACACAGGAATGACCACCGCTGAAGCGCCATCCGCCAACACAAAAAGCTCCCTAGAGCGTGTTGAACTCGTTGTCACAAACGAAGCTATTGGTAGGAGCAGAACGAAGTTATCGCTCGGCTCCGAACCGAAAAGCTGGTATGCGTTGCGTTGGATGCAATCATCGCATGCCAATGTGCATTGGCTCGTTTAGTTTACACTCGAAGTGGATTGGTCTCTCCAAGCGAGATCCCAATTCATCGGTCGCCGACGTGACGTCGAGAGTGACCGACTGAAAGGGAACCTTTATTTTCTTTTTAGGCAGAGTATAATTTCTGGGGGAAAAAATGCAACAATAATGCAAAAATTGTCCTTAAAATAGCCTTTATTTGTTTCTTTTTGGGAAAAACATAATTTATATATATATATATATATATATATATATATATATATAAAAAATTAAAAAAGGCCCTTAAATTGTCCTTAAAAATGCTTTATTTCTTCAGCCAAAATATACATATATGCACAAATGATCCTTAAAATAGGCTTATTTTCTTTTTAGGCAAAATATAATAATAAAAAAAGCACAAATAATGCAAAAAATGGATTGACTTTATTGTTTTATTAGGAAAAATGTCATTTCTAAAAACAATGCAAACAATTTCTTAAAAAATTGTCTTTAATTGCAGAAAAAATAGTCATAAAACAGTCTTTTTTTGTCTTTTTAGGCAAAATATAATTTAAAAAAAAGTAGGCTTTATTTTCATTGTAGGCAAAATGTTCTTTAAATAGCTCTATTTCATTTTCAGGCAAAACATTTTTAAATATTTAATTTTTATTATTATTTTGGAGTTTATTCTCAATTATGAAGATATTTTTTTCAAATTTGAATAAATTAAATGTTGATTTATAACCAAAGTTGAGTGTGTTTAGAGGATGGATGGACATAAAGCCTCTAATACGTTCACAGGCCGTGCTAATGGCAGCTGACGCGGGTGTGGCAACACTTTTGTCCACAAATATGATGGAGGAGAACATTTCTTTCACATCAACATCTATTTTCCCAGGCGTGGACTGCATGTCTGAACATCCAAATGCCACAAAAACCTCCAAACATGATGTGGAGTGGCTCAGCAGCCGGGCACTAGAGCTGGCATCAGCCACGCCAGACAATACGGCTCCACATCAGTCCTTCAGAGAAACTACAATCCAAGAATATTTACATGGCTTCCAACAGGGTCAAAAAGTGTCAAACATAATATTATAAGATGTTTTGAAGAAGCTGCTTTTATTCTTTATTCTAAAAAGAAGGAAAAACACACCCAAATTTAGTTTTGTCAATGAAAAGAGTGAGTGGCAAACCTGCAACATCACATAAAATGCATAATTATAAAATGGCCCTTAAAAGCTTTATTTACTTCATAGGCAGAATAAGATTTAAAAAATTGAAAAATAATGCAAAAACGGTCCTTAAAATAGTTTTTAAGCAACAAAAACAAAAACAAACAAATAAATAAATAAAATGGAATAAGTATATTTCTTTTTAGGCAAAATCTAATTTTTACAAAAATATGAAAATAATACAAAAATGGTCCTTAAAAGGCTTTATTTTCTTTTTGGACAAAATGCTAAATTAATGTACAAATTGTCCTAATTGTTAGGCAAAATATAATTTGCAGACAAATACAAAAATGGTCCTTCAAAAAGCTTTATTTTAGGCCAAATATAATTCCTAAAAAATAAAAAAACAGCAATAATGCAATAATTGTCCTTAAAAACGGCTTTATTTTCATATTAGGCTAAATTTAATTCAAAATAAAAATGCAAAAATGGTTCTTTAAATTTTTTTTTCTTTTTGGGCTAATTATAAATTAATAAACAATGCAAACACAGCCTTTAAAAATGGCTGTATTTCTGTTTAGGCAAAATATAATTTCTAAAAAATATGCAATGCACAAATGGTCCTTAAAATAGGCTTGAATTTCTTATTAGGCAATATGTAATTTATTATATTAAAAATAACGCAAAATTGTCCTTAAAATTGGTTTTATTTTAATTGCACGCCAAATATAATAAAAAAAGGTCCTAAAATAGCCTTTATTTTCTATTTAGGCAAAAAAAAGCTTTTTTTTAATTTTCAGGCTAAATATACCTTCTTCACTTTTCAACAAAGCTGCGTTTATTCTTTGTTCTACAAATAAAAATACACCAGAATCCCCAAACTTTAGTTTAGTCTATGAAAAGAGTGACTGCAGCATCACATTAGCATACACATATATTCCTGCAAACAGAAAATCTGCAGTCTTTCTCTGACATGATGTTATGCTGGTAGTAAAGCAAGAGCAGCGATGTGCCAGACTCTCTTCCCAACATGATCCCAGAGCACAGCTGCGAGCCATTAACCATTTCCGGCCGACACTCGTGTCCTCCAGCAGCTCTGTCAGTACTTGTTTGTATTTGTTTAACCCTGTCTGCTCCTGTGAGATCAGCCACTATGCAAACAGCTGTTATTAAACCATCCACAGGTGAGATCACACACTTTTATCACCCAACACACTTCACAACATCTAAAACACTGTGTGTGACAGATAGAAAATGCATCAAACCATGACCCTGGGGAAAAAATGCACTGGTTTATAAACAACAACTGCTCATCAAGGCTGCATTTATTTGCTCAAAAATACAGTAAAATCAGTAAAAATGTGAAAAATTAAAAAAAAAATGTATATGACTGATTTCTATGTAAATATACAGTATTTCAAACTATAATTGATTGCTGTGATCAAAGCTGAATTTTCAGCATCATTCCTCCAGTCTTCAGTGTCACAAGATTCTTCAGAAATCATTCTAATATGCTGATTTGCTTATTTGATTATTATCAATGTTGAAAACAGTTGTGCTGCCCAATATTTTTGTGGAAACCGTGACGTGTTTTATTTTATTATTATTTTTTTTTTTTGATGAATAGAAAGTTCAAAAGAATGTCTCGAGTTACGCATGCAACCATGGTTCCCTGAGAGGGAACGAGACGCTGCGCCCCCTAGCAGACACATTGGGGAATGCAGCCTGCATGACCGGTGTCTGAAGCACGTGTGAAACAATGCCAATCTATTGGTCCAACTGGCCCATGACATCATAGGCGGAGTGCCCGGAAGTATAAAAGGGCACCTGCTGAATACGTCATCCACTTATCTGTCTGAAGGGGATGTAAACAGGCAGGCCGAAGGCATGGCAAGGGGGCACAGTGTCTCGTTCCCTCTTGGGGAACCATGGTTACATGCGTAACCAAAGACGTTCCCCTTCTAGGGAACTCCACGCTGCGCCCCCTATGGGGCACATTGGAATGATGGCCACGCCTCTTATCTAGCACGTTCCTGAGATCTTTTTTCCCTTTGTTAGTGGTAGGCTTCCCTTGCCGACTCCTAGAGGGAGGAGGGTGCGGTTAGCAACGCTAGACTTTTGATCTTGTCTATGAGCCTCAGCTCGAGACCGATCATCCCCCTTAGAAAAGGATTTGGAGCGCCGGGGAATGAATTTCCTGAAAGCAGCCGGTTGTGCTTTCACCTCCCTAAACTTCTCCACAACCGCCTCGACGGAAGTGCCAAAGAGAAAAAGAAAAAGTATTTATCTTTTTTCCTGATGGCCGCAAGGTTGATCCACAGATGTCTCTCTGTAGCCACCATCACCGCCATTGAACCCCCAATGGCAGCAGCAGTTTGCTTGTGGTGCAGCACAGCTCTTCGACCACCTCAGGCGACATACCTCTGCCCTTGTCCAAATCCTTCAGCAAGTCAGCCTGATAGGCTTGCAACACCACCATGGTGTGCAAAGCACCACCAGCCTGACCCGCTTCTTCTATTTATAAGAGTTTTTTCCTCTCTCTTTTAATAGCAGATAAATCTATTTATTTTACTGTTCTAACTACACATAGTTATATTGATAGTTGCATTTTATTAACTGCATTTACAATTCTTTTCCTGCTGTCTGTCACCCATAAGAATGGACCTGTGACTCTTATTATTTAGGTCATGACCCACCAACTACCTAAATAATACAGCAGAGAATGGTTATTAATTAGACAAATTAATTCATTTTTTGGAAAATTTAAGCAGCAAAATAATGAATGCATCAATAAAATTTTCATTTATGTTTACATTAAGAATGACAAATACTCATGTCCCTTCATTACACTTCATAAAAACTCCTTGCTCGGCATTGCAGTGTTGTGTCAGTCTTCTAATAAAGCACTAATGTCTTATTCATGAGCAGTTCTTCTCAGGGCACAGGAAATGTTCGGGTCTTGAATTTTCATGAATTGTGAAGTTGTGGCTAGATCCTGTTACCTAATGAAACAAATCATGCGATTAAAAAGAAATGAGCAAATAAAATCAATAAGGATCCGTTTACAGTTTGGTAACAAAGGACTGCAGAAAGGGCAAGACTAATTTGTGTGTTTGCCAAACACTAACAAGGGTGAAGAGAAATGTGAATTACAACAAAGAACTGAACAGGAAAAAATCATTTGTTTTCATTTTGGAATATTGTTGAGATTGTGAAGCGGAATGTTTAAGTTGATCAGGAATTTTAAATTAAAATAATCAGCTCCTAGCAACGCCATAGCAACCACCCCAAATCCCCTAACAACTAAATAACAATTTACTAACAGCCACTTAACATAACACCATTATTGGAATATAAAAGTATATTTAAAAACTTTAATGTTAGGTGGGATTAATTGTGATTAATTTCAGAAAAAATGTGCGATTAATTAGTTAATTTTTTTAATCGATTGACAGCACTAATTTCATTACATGCACTACCACTAAAATACTCGCTGCATAAATGTGCAGCTTGCAGCATGTCGTAAATATTTGCATCTTGTAACATTCTCCTGGTTTTCCGAACACACCTATTTTGCAGTGCAGCTCTCCAAGATGAACTGTTTGCTGAAAATAATTTGCATTTAATTTAAATTCAGCATATTTGCATGTCACTTCAGTTCTGTGAATGGAAGCTCGGCCGGACTAGACCTCAACATCTATTTCTGTCAGCTCTGGACAATCCTGGCAGAGTAACACTGGCACAACACACTGCAAACACTGTGTTTGTGGGGCTGAGATTTCCCTCAGGAACATTTTTAGACATAAAAACAGACACAAATGAGTCAATAGATGACATGCAGTAAGAGTACACAGCTTGAATGTGGACAGCAGCTCAGATTGTTTGGTTTCAGAAGAATTTGATAGGAATAATTTAGTTAATCCAAATAATTTAATGGCATTAGTGTAACTAGTCTTCTACAGTCAGTTTTCTCTTTTCTGAATGAATGTTGCTGGTTACTTAAAGCCAACATATTTATATCTAGCTAAATGGTTAAAGGAATAGTTCACCCAAAAATTTAAATTTGCTGAAAATGCACTCAACCTCAGGTTATCCAAGATTAGGATGAGTTTATTTCTTCATCAGGTTTGGAGAAATGTATCATTCCATCACTTACTCACCAATGAATCCTCTGCAGTGAATGGGTGCCGTCAGAATGAGGGTCCAAACATGATAAAAACATCACAATAATCCACAGCACTCCAGTCCATCAGTTAATGTCTTGTGAAGCCAAAAGCTATGTGTTTGTAAGAAACAAATCTAACATTAAGATATTTTAACTTCAAACGAGTCCAAATAACTGAAACTAAAAAAGTGGTCTGGTCTGAATCAGGAGAGAAATCTGCACAGATCAAGCACAAGCCAAAACAGCTCTAAACAAATATGTGGCAGGATTTTGATGTGAGAGATGACAGGAGATGGGCTTTTTCACTGGATGAAGCGTGGATGGATTGTGGACTCATATCTTAGCTGGAAGCAACAGTTTAAAGTTAAAAATGTCTTAATGATGGATTAATTATTCTCCAGACATTAACTGATGGACTGGAGTGCTGTGGATTACTTGTGGATTATTGTGATGTTTTTATCAGCTGTTTGGACTCTCATTCTGACGGCACCCATTCACTGCACAGCATCCATTGCTGAGACACTGATGCAATGCTACATTTCTCCAAATCTGATGAAGAAACAAACTCATCTACATCTTGGATGGACTGAGGGGGAGTACATTTTCAGCAAATTTTCATTTTCATTACTCCATTAATAACAGGTCCAGTTTAAAGGCACAGACCCCCGATTCTTGTTTGCGATGGGAACTGGTGGTCAGCTTTGAGCATAATTCCCCTCGATATGACTCTGGGTCCAGGGTCACACCAGGCAACCGGACTTCCCCTTCCAGCCAAGTCATTTGAACACAGACCACTCTATGGAAGCAATGTTAAAAACGCGCCGCAATACCCATCTAAGCCAAACCAAAGCACTGCCCAAGATCTGCCTGGAATAAATGGAGGGAAAAATTCCTAAACTGCCGTCCTTGCATGAGCTCGACACAACAGCTGGTCACTGTATGCTCTTATATGTTGAAGTACGTTGCTGTAAAATCTTCATCCCAGCAATACAACCCAAACCATAATAAAAACTCCAATAGAGAACGGATAGAGTTTAACGGCACACATTCTTGCACATTGACAGGAAATCGGAGTTCACCTTAAAATTAAAATTCTGTCATTATTTATTAAATCTCATGTTGTTTCAAACCTGAATGCTGTTTTTTTTTTTGAGTGCAACACAAATGCACTCAAAAATTAATCAAAGCATAGCTTTTACTAAGCACTTCCATCTGTTTGATTTGATAAATAATCATGTTTTCAAAATCATTTGTTTAAATTCCTCAGAATCAGCATTAATCTGTTAATCGTGAAATCTAATTTAAGACAATACACTACAGGTGAATAGGACGAAAAAAGTTACTAATAGATATAGTCTTTTAATCACACTACATTAAGACAATTGTTTTGTATTACAAGTTTTCCGCAATGTTATGCTTAAATATGCAAATAAGCATTATCTAATTAAATATGCACTAAATTACATACATTTCACAGATGAAGTCAATTGGCCACTATGGCTGTTCTGCTGTTTTGTGTCCATCTGCTTCTCCCATTTGCTCTTTTTACAATGACTATCACTCTATATAGACTAATACAATCATATACAACAATAAATATATACTGTATATATACAATATATACTGACAAACTGAACATTCACTGAGATGACTGGATGCTTTCAACTGATTTCCTATTGAACTGTCAGCAACTGAACTGCAGCTCAAACTATTTCAAATGTAGTGAATTAAGCTACAAATAGGGATGTAACGATTAACCGCGAGCCGGTTGAAAATCGATTTAAATATGTGACGATTAAAATCGGTTGAGATGCTAAACAAATCGTGATTCAATTAGGGGTAGGAGTTTATATGAGTGTGTGTCTGAGGGGAACTTACTGTCTTTAGAAAAGTTTAGATGGTATTTTTTCTTTTCATCTTGCCTCTGTATAATGCATATTAAGGTTCATTAGTGCAGCGCTGCTTTGTTTTCAGCGGTAACCAGGAAACGCTTTAAGCGCCACCTGCTGGCAGAGAGTGAATCTGCATCTCATTCAGCTCGTCTGCTGTTTCGGTTTCTGCAGATATTTTTATGCATAGTTTCATAAAACTGAAGTCAAACCATTCTGTTTTTGCTCCAAATTTCGAAATTATACAATCTAATTTAGATTAAAAACTGCTCATGTTGTATGTATGCAGCATCTTTGTTTGGATCAAGATTAAAATGCAGTGGTTGCCTCTAATTTTAAATGGAAAGAGCAAAGAGATTTATTTTATTTGTGTTACTTATTTATTTGATTTGGGGCTTGTTTTAAAATTTCAATTTAGTTTTGTTATTTACATTTACATTATATTTAAATTTTGTTATTTAGCAGACGCTTTTATCCAAATCGACTAACAAATGAGGACAATAGAAGCAATCAAAACCAAAAAAAGAGCAATAATTTACAAGTGCTATATTAGTAGCCTATATTATTATAGTGTTATATTTCAATTTCACAAAGAAAAGTACAGTATTTTTTCCAAGCAATAATAAAAGGACACATTTAATTTATAATTTGTCTTAAATCTCATTTTGTTAAAAAAAATCGTGAATCGAATCGAATCGTGAGTTGAGTGAATCGTTACATTCCTAGCTACAAACTCATAATCATAATGCACAATGTTTCCATCTAACATGTATTTTGAACTGCAGCTCGTCTTATTAATGGAGTGTTTTCACTAGTTAGCAGTAAACCGGTTACCTCACCTGATTATGTTCGTAGATTTGTGATGGATGTTATCTTTGGAATGAAATTGTGGATATTTTATTTGTAAAAAAAAAATCATACTTTTTCTCTTATATCAGTTAATGTAATAAAACTAGCGAGTTAAGCCAGCAGCAGTTCTGATAGTGTCGTGTAAACATGACTGAAGACACGAAAGGAGGAACAGACAAACCGATTCAATTTAGTGAGTCATTTACACTGGAACCACTCCGATTGACTCGTCACTTCAATGAATCAGTTCAAGTGATTCTCTAGCAAAAGCCAGATCAAAAGAGCCATTCGTATTTGAATTTCGACATCGCTTGTAACGATTTTTAAAAAGCACGTATAGTGATGGGTGAAGCGGGGCTCTTTGAAACTCCGAATCAGTTAAATCACTGCGTCGCAAAATGATTCACTGTTTCAAACTACTCGAATCGGTTGGCGTATTGTGAATCACTTGATTTAGATTGGACCTTCGGAGCAGTTTTCTTGAATCTTTTTATTCAGATCGGCACTTCGGAGGGAGTTTGCAAATCATTTCGCACATTGAACGATTCGCGATCTGCACTCCGAAGTCACGATCTGAAATGATGATTCGTGGATCATTATTCAGATGAGACTCCGAGGAGTGGATCGCAAATACAGTTGCTGTACCACCGCTGTACGGCCGGGGCACGTAGTCTCGGCTCCTCAGCGAAAAACTGATGTGCGTTTGCACACGCTCTCCTTTTATACCCGCGCTGCGGGGCGGGGTGCGTGTGGCGAAGCACGCACGCCAACTGTCATTGGCTTGTTTAGTTAACACTCGAAGGTGATTGGGCTCTCGGGCGAGATCAATTTAAACAATTTAATTGAGTCCCGTAAATTATCGCTCCATGTGTGTACGGAACAGCAGTCACTCCCGCATTTGAAACCATAGCAACATTTTGGCATCTTGCGGAAGTGAATAAGAATTCTGCCATTTTTTGGCTAAAGACTCTTTTTATCCGTCGATTTTAACTAGACTACCGCTGATAGTTGTACTGTGCTTTGTTTATGCTCAGGAGTGCTGTTTTGCAGTGTTGCCATGTCCTCATATAAGCAGTGTTAGGCATGTTGTTTGGTCTTAGCTCATAAAGCTAGGCATTTTATAGAGTTAATAAAGTGGTCTGTTGCCGATATGAGATATACGATTTTTTTGGTGTAATAAAACATAAAGCATTTGGGTGTTTTCGTGTTTTTTGTGCTTGTCCTTGTTTTTTTCTTTCTATGAAGATCTGGCAACACTGACACTTTACCGCAGGGCTCGTAAGTGCAACTAGCCCTGTGCAGTGTTGCCAACTTAGCAATTTTGTTGCTAAATTTAGCAACTTTTCAGACAACCCTAGCAACGGTTTCTTCTAAAAGCGCCTAGCAATACAGTTAGCTATTTTTTTTTTTTTTTTATTTGGCTACTTTAAGCAATAATAATAATAATAATAATTTAATAATTGTTCATTTATGATACACCTTGTTAGTAGCTTGTACCTGTGATTGTTGATTTAGTACTCTGTAATAAAAATATCTAGAAAAATGGAAAAGGTACTAGTAATTTTCCAAGACATTATCCATTATCCGTTGTAACCCTATAACCCAAAAACACAAAATGCAATGTGTAATTTAAAATGCACGTAAATACACTGCTTAAAACTTAAAATTAAAATTGTTCAGAATGTGTAGTTTTACTAGTTTACTAGCTAATTAAAAAAAAAACGTTTTCGTCGTTCAATCGTTCAAAAAAAGTGTTTAATAATTCAATGTTGTACATAAAAATAGTTATTTATATTTTAACATATTATGCATTTATATTATTTTACGAACATATCTAAATTAACATATACAATTTATTTATTTTTTGCTGAGATTTGATGTTGTGACTAAATTTTGCGTCGTGATTACGACGTCACAACGTCATTTAACAACTTTCAGCAACAAATCGACCTTCCTTTAGCAACTTCCCCTGAAAATTAGTTGGCAACACTGGCCCTGTGTCAAAATGTGCTAAGGTTAAGACTTCTTTCACTGTTATTGTCTTGCATCTCACATACAGACGAAGACACATTTCTGATGCTCGTTTAAATACATCGTTAACAACTAGTTGTTCGGTTCGGTTCCGTACACACTGCGTAGAATTTCTGTGAATGCGGTTGTCACTACCTGTATTTTTCGGGAGTTAATGCGGTTGTCGAATGCGGTTGTCACTCCCTTATTTTAGTGAATTATGTGAGTACAGAACGCGATTAAGGAGTAAAAGGTGAACTGACAACTGACAATAAAACAGCAACTCACTTCAATGTCTGACTTATATTATAATTACATCCATGAGCTTTTAGTGAAATTTGGATGAACTCATTAATCTGTTGCTTGAGTTACTATAGTAACTCAACTATAGTTTCCAAACTCGGACATTGCTTGTTATGATTTTTTTTGGTGTAGAATTAGGTAGAGATGCTGTGACAGTGGAACAAAAGCGCTCAGGTCTTGTACAGATTGTCTTGAGCAGGTTTGTGGGTGTTCGCTGTCAGTCATGCAACCAGCGGTTTGACAAGAGCATCTTACAGCAGATGTCAGTATGCATGTCTTTTACTGCTTCACAGCTTCTCCAGATTCATATTACAGCTCGGCTGCCTTGGCGAGAGGCAGTAAAATGTACAGTTTTTATTCTAAATAGCACGGAAAATGTTTAAGATGCTGAGCTGAAACACTATGTCACTTATGAGTCAGGATGGGAATCGTAAGAAAGTATGGCTGGGCGATATGGCCAAAAATATTATATTAATATCAATGGCAAAAGAAAATGCATGTTTGTTAGACCTTGAGAATGAATGTAAACATAAACTTGTTTGTTCACAATTAAACTACACAGAGTAAGATATTTTTAATTTAGGGTCCCATGAAATAATTTTATTTCCTAAAAACAGAAAATGTGTTTTCCGTTTTATTTTATTTTATTTATTTATTTTGATTTTATGATTCAATACAAATTTATACTCAAAAACGGTGTCTAATAAAATGAATTCAGAAAACTTTAACAATTTATTCAATCTTTTAAAATGTCATCAAATTAAAATACAGCCATTAATTTACAACAAAACAATGCGTTTTTGTCAAATAAGATGCTGCTTAACAGACCTGTGTCAATTAAAACATGGATGAAAAAATAACTTAGTTATATGTTATTCCGTAAATATTATTATGATTATTATTATTATTTTGAGAATAACATTTTAGTGTTCAATAGTAATAACAATAGTAAAGCTAGTCTGAAATAACATGATATGGAAGCAAAATAGCCTAAAATCTCAAAGTTTACCAATGCATGTAATGTCTTCTCTTAAAAAAGTAACTTGGTTTATTTAATTATCTGTGGATCAAACAAGCCAATTAGTTAAAATGTATGAGATTTATATATAAGAAATTGGATTAATTGACAATAAATTGTGTATTTACAAAGCATTTGGTTTATTAGTATTTAAGCTCATTCATGTTTCATTCATGAATCACAAACAAATACGCATCACATTAACTTTATTAGTTATTATTTTACATATTATTAATTATTATTATTATTATTAATTAACATTAACATATTATTTTATGTTAAAACTGTGTAATCCAAAAGGATAAACATTTTATTTGCAACTAAATTACATACATTTTAAAGTGTGCAAGCTCATAAAAATAGATACAGTATATATTAGATATCGAAATCCAACTTGAAATCCATTTTCATTTTCCAAAGTTCTGTTCTGTTCTATTTTTTTTTGGGGGGGGGGGGGGGGGGGGGTTCTGTGTTTTATGATTTAATACAAATTTATAATCAAAAATGGTGTCTAATTAAATTAATTAAAAAAACTTTAACAATTACATTTTTATTTGAAATACAATAGAAATATAGCAATTAATTTACAATGAACCATTGCATTTTTTATTTTTTTTGTCAAATAAGATGCTACACAACAAAACTGTGTCATTTAAAACATGGATGAAAAATTTCTTGGCTGTATGATATTCCTTAAAAATAATAATATCGTTTCTACTTTGAGAAGTACATTTTAGTATTCAATAGTAATATATTGACTTTTGTCTACTTTTCATCCTAACATGTACATTTATTTGGTCATGAAGATCTTTGAGTTTCTGTGTGCATATAATATGACGGTAGTTTTTCTCAAATGAAGTGATGTAAAGCTGCTGAAGTGACTCTCAGAGCAGCTCTGGAGATGAAGTGCACGTGTTCATGTCCTCATATATTGAGACGCAGATGCTAAAAACGCCGCGAGCGTCACGTGAGTTTGAGTTTGTGCATCAGACGAAACCGCGCCATTCTTTCACACATATCACACATGCAATGACTGGCTCTTGCTGTGTTTATTTGAGTAAAAACGACCAGAACCTATCATCTTTATTAACATATTTTATCACAATCTCGATAAGATGTAATTTATCACCCCAGCCCTATAAGAAAGTCAACAATTCCGGTGCTGACATATGCTTCATTCATTTTGTTTGAGGTATGAAGAGGCTCTTACCGATGTATTTGCTCCACTCCGGGTCCAGATCGGCCTGATTGGCCAGGCAGCCCTTCATCACATTCAGACAGTAGTTGTTGCAGGGCTTCAGCGTGAACAAACCCTGACAGTACGAGCAGTAGAGCATTTTAGTGAAGCCGCTGATGCACGCAGAGCTCATGGTGACCTGCGGACAGAAGACGACACACGCAGTTCATTTGATGCATATGGATGGAAATAATAATAACAAATGTTCTACAAAAGGACACTTATCAGTTTAAGACAAACTATCATAGTGTCATACTGTAATGTCTCAATGCAGTTGATAAGGTGAAATACATTAGTGAAAAATGTCAAGTTGCTCATGCAAGTTCCTCAAATTTCACATGAAAATCATACTTTTGAGAACCAAAATAAATTATAAGTATACTGTATAAGTTAAAACCAAATGAATTATTATTAAGATGATTAATTCTGGTATTTCAGGCAGCAAAATAAATAAACACACATATTGGGTCCAAACACCCAGGATTCAAAAGTGTAATTTAAAACTGGAAACAAACAGAACATTTTAGGTCTCTAAAAAAATGCAAAATACATAAAGTTATGACATAAAATGAAGAAGACATATTTCGGATTCTGCACTACTTTTTGGGTCACAATCAAATGTAACTTAAACTTCATTGGGATTTTTAACAAGAACACTATTTTTCTTGTTATGACAAGCCCAAATATACTGTATATGATTGGGTAGAAATTCTTAAAAATAAAAAGTAAGTAAATGGAAGTATATTCTGAATTTAATTGAATTTTTAGATTATCTGTTTTAATTTTAATTTAAAGATTTAGTACATTTGTTGTCATTTTTATGTCTATAGATTTCTTACGTTTTAGTTATTTAATTTTATTATAACTTTTTTTTTTTAGTTAATGATAATAACCCTGTAGCTTTGCGGTATAAATTAATTACCATGCATTTTTGTTATGAGCAGCTCAGACATTCTGCCTAACTTCTCATTTTTGTTCTTCAGATATGAAATAAAGTCATGCGTTTGGAAAATGAGGGTGAGTAAATCAGGCCATTAAAACACTGAACAACCTTCTCCATTTGAGCTCACACACAACGCTGTGCATTTAAAGCAGTGACCTTCAACTGAGTCAATAATACACTTCAGAAGAAGAAGCTGCTAATCCGAAAACCAACAAGAGCCGTAAATGCAGAAGCCCATTTTCCTTCCTATGATTCAGTACTGTGTCAGCATGTGATGGTAGAGCAGGAGATCTATAATATACAGAGAAATCTCATTTTTTATAAACCATAGTTGTAAAAGTCATCTGTCTCTCCGGGATATATTAGCGCTCCTTCTGAGAAACAGACTAGCTAAACCAGTTAAACACCAGCTTTTCCAGGCCAAGGGAACAGCTAAATGATCTTAAATCAGGTAAGACCAGCAAACTAGCAGTCTGGTTTAATGTTTTTCTAAAGGACGGTTTTAGAGCGATACAATAGGGCTCAATGATTTCCCACAATGTGGAAAATATGAATGGAATCCAGTCATGATGGAATTTACAGTATTACACAATTCAACTCATGAATGGGAAATAAAACAGAAAGCAAAAAAAAATTAACTTAACCATTAAAACAGAATGCAGAAAAAATAAAACTGAAAAAATAACAATAGAATAAAAGAGTAAAATTTAAACTGAAAAGATGGAAAAAACATATCTCATAGGGATCTAGCATTTTATTTTTATTTAATTAAAAATTGTAATGGAAAAAAATAAAACAGATTTCATAAGGGTCTAAAAAATTAATTAATAAAATTTTAATAAATTGTTAAATTCTATAAGTTTCATTTCAATTAATTAGACATGATTTACATTTATTTTAACCATTTAAATGAAATCCAGAAAAATTTAAATGGAAAAAACGGAACCCAGTAAAATTTAAACTGAAAAAAATGGAAATAAATAAAACAGATTTCATAAGGGTCTAAAAAAGGTATTTATAAAACTTTAATAAACGTTTAAATTCTATACGTTTCATCATTTAAATTGATTAGACTTTTTAAAATTTAATTTAACAATTAAAACGGAATGCAGAAAAATTAAAACGGAAAAAAAGAATCCAATAAAATTTAAACTAAAATAAAACACATTTCAAAGGGCCCCAAAATTGTAATTTATTAAACTTTTAATAAATTCTATAAGTTTTCAAGATTTCAATTAATTAGACATGCTTTACATTTAATTTAACCATTAAAACGAAAAATCACCAGAAAAAATAAAAACAGAAAATAATGTATACTAAAAAATGGAATTTGGGAAAAAAGTAAAACAGATTTCAAAGGGCCCTAAAAACATATGTTCTTATATAATTGTATTTTCAAACCTCATGCATGCATGAACTCTGCATGTTACCTTCACTTACACTGAATGCAGTTCATGCTCTCAGATGCTACAGGTTTCATTTTCCCTCATAAAATCATAAGCACAAATCAGTCTGACAGGCCAGTTAGCACCACTTCATGAACACCACTTTAGCTCACCTTAGAAACCCTGTTAGCCACTTCCCGTCCAACCATGAGGCCCTGGACGAAGGTGCGGGCAGCGATGAACGCTCGTGTAACCTGAGACTTCAGCTTCTTGGGAACGTCTCCAAAGGGCTTAAGCTGCTCCATGTACTTGCCGATGCATTCCAGATAGTCCTCGGTGATGAGATACTGGGAATTCAGGAGCTGGAACATGCGCTCCAGCAGACGCATCCAGAAATCGTTCAGCATCTCCTCCAGATTGACGTTGCCGCCTGTGTAGTATCGCTTCAGTTCGGTGAACAGGCCCTGGAAGACCTCGGCGTTCTGCAAGTAGGGCTTCCCGTACGTGCGCAGAAACATCTCGTTCAGAGAGCGCTCGGTGTTCTCCAGCAACTCCAAGAAGAACTCTGTTAAAGCATGAACTACAGCTTTTACAGTCCATTGAAAATGAGACCTTGGAGCACAAAACCAGTCACAAGGGTCAATTTTTCAAAATTGAGATTTATACATCATCTGAAAGCTGAATAAATAAGCTTTCCATTGATGTATGGTTTGTTAGGATCGGACAATATTTAGCCGAGATACAACTATTTGAAAATCTGGAATCTGAGGGTGCAAAAACATCTAAATATTGAGAAAATCATCTTTAAAGTTGTCCAAATGAAGTTCTTAGCAATGCATATTACTAATCAAAAATTAAGTTTTGATATATTTACGGTAGGCAATTGACCAAATATCTTCATGGAACATGATCTTTACTTAATATCCTAATGATTTTTTGCATAAAAGAGAAATGTATAATTGTGATCCATACAATGTATTGTTGGCCATTGCTACAAATATACCCCAGCGACTTAACACTGCTTTTGTGCTGCAGACTCACAAATGTGAAAATGGACTGATTTAGCTGGTTTCTCGAGGTTGTAAATGAAGTAAAAATTATTGGAGCACAAGACAAGCACTATTTCAGTTTTTACTTCAAAATGTTATGTTTAATTCAATGTGTTACTCACTATTTAGTAAAATGTTTACTAGCAATTTCTGACTGAAAATGGTTTTCAGTGTAGTTTGAATTGTTCAGTATTAGTAAGTAAACTGATGCGTTATTGAGTGATAAATGAATATAAGTAGCTATTCTTAATTCATTTAAATGAAAACACATTCATAATGAGAGTTCGGTGTCAGTTTGGTTCATTTTTGTCGCATATTCAGAGATTGTTATGAAAAATATGTTGAAATGTAACGCATTTACAAGACAGGAAAAAAACATTAAAGTTTGAGAAGACAGCTGAAAGAAAATACCAGATGATATCACTGCAAGTAAATCAACTCAAAATATTGAATTAATTTATAAAAGTTCACCAAGAGCTTAAAGAACAGATGTAAACTTAGCAATCTTAAAATTAGTATCTATTATAAAGTTTGTATTTATATTATTTAAATCAAAAGTTGTTTATAAAATAAATGAATATATATATATATATATACACACACACAACAAATTATGTTTTTCACTGTAATATAGATTTTCATATAGCAATTATATTGTTTTGTTAAAAAAAGTCTTTAAAATAGTTGACATTCAGCTAAAATATAAATTGAGTTGCTCAAGACAAACATTCAGTTTTTTTTAGAACAAATTAAATCTCAATAAGATGCAGAAATCAAGAAATGCAGAAAACAAAACTGACATAGCTTTACATTTAAGTGCTTAAAGATAACCCAGAGCTGAGTTTAAATGCTTAGCGATCTATACATGCTGTTTTAGATGAATGTTGATTCACCTTTAAGCTGTTAACGAGAGAATCGAATGACTTTCTGCTAAAGTAGCAAAGTGAATGTTAAGAATAGATCTGTTCACAAATCAGCTGTAATTGCTTTCATATGAGGCTTTTCTCTTTTTTTGTGTTCGTGTCTCACTTTTGATTCGGTCTCTGCAGGCAAATCATTTCAATGCATAACTAAACTTATTTCTTTCTTTAAAGAAGAATGGCTTTGCAATATCACACTTTAATCTGGCACACATAAGAATAATCAGTTTGAGCATTCATTCATTCATTCGGGACGCTCTGTAGAGACTGAAACTGTAAGCAACTGAAGGGTCAAACAGATCATTCTTGACTTTCTTCTGTGAAGTGCTTCTTCATGAGGTCCGTCTCAATGCCATTATGTTCATTTGAATGCAGCGCAGCACAGTGTTGCTCACATTCTCCCTGACAAACTCGTCAGCGCTCTTTGTTTGTGCGTCCCGATCATCACAGCGCATGATGAAACCTCTGAATTCTTAATGTCACAGTAAACAGGGTATTTATTCACACAGAAAACATGCTGGGAATTATAAAACTGATCGTTCCGGTTCTGGATGTTGCAATAAATGTTTGTCTTTAATATTTTAATATGGCATAACTGTAAAAAAGCAATAAGGCACACAAGGTTGTGCTATATTATCATACAGCACGGGTTCTTGTGCTTTATCACGTAGAGCTAGGATGCACAGAAAGTCACTTTGGATAAAATTATGAAACCTTTGCCAAATAATATTTGTCTGTCAAATAATAAATGTAATTGTAATTGTAAAAATGTAAATAAATAAATAAAACAAAAAACAAAATAAAGTAGTTAAATAAAACAGTAAAAATAATCAAATTAATTAAAAACGTAATGAAAAATAAGCAAAATGTAAAAATTAAAATAGTAAAAAATTATTGTACTTTATCATGTAGAGCTACGATGCACAGAAAGTTGCCTTTGCCAAAAAAAATTATTGTCTGCCAAATAATAAATGTAATAGTAATTGTAAAAAATAAATAAATAAATAAAATGTAAAACAATTAACAATAATAAAAATTAAATACAAAATAATTAATTATTTAATTATAATTAATTAATACATTTATACATAATAAATAAAAATAATAAAATATTAAATTAAACAAATTAAAATAATAACATGTAATAAAAAACAAAAAATATCAATCAAAACGTAAAAACGTTATTGTATTTGATCATGTAGAGCTAAGATGCATAGAAAGTCGCTTTAGATAAAATAATGGAAACTTTAACAAATAGTAATTTTTAATGTAATAATAATTGTAAAAATTAATAATAAAATATGTAATAAAAACAGGTAGTAAAAAGTTAATAAAAAATAAAATGTCTGCCAAATAATAAATGTAAATGCAGAAAAAAATGGATTAATAAACTTGCTTAGAAAATACAATAGCAATTAAATAGACTTATCAACAGACCAACAACGGCATTATACTTTTGGGAAATGAGTTTCAGGGAGGAAACGTTCATCTGACAGTCTGCGTTATAAACTACAGTCATCAGAAATGGAAGGATGATAAATATTTAATCTTTGAATTAATCTGGGATTTAAATTATTTTTTTAGATTAAATGGGACAGAAGAAAACATCGGTCAAATTTTGCTAATAATAATAATAATAAGCAATTACACAAATGTGTTGTCAGCACAGGCGGACAAAGTACACAACTCCATATTAACTCCATTACAAGTGAAAGCTGTAAAGACAGATTTTTAAAAACTATTTCTACAATAGTTGTTCTGTGGCTTTAGGTAATATTTTCAATTACACAATTTTGCTAAATCAATACAACAGTGTGTCTAATATATACCACAATATGAACTTCTTTATTATTGAATTGTTGTAAATAAATATCACATTTGCACCTGGTCAGTGTTCAACAAATGCTGGGAAATCACTTCACGCAACCCTAGAAGAGTGATTACTGATAGGCTGTCAAAAAAATATCACCCACTGACTTTCAAAGCTGCTACACAGAAACGACTTTCTACTGCATGGACCTTGATAGAAATTAAGTGGAGTGAAAAGTACTACTGTATATTTATACAATCTAATAATACTAATGCTATTATCGTAGCTTCTGTAAGAATTTCTCGACTGTCGTGAGTCCTCTTACTTCACAAATCTTATTTAGAGTGGTCTGCTGAGAGTCAGCATGCTTTTGATTCAGTCAACACTTTGATGTGTAACGCATCTGATTTAATGGCACCTGACTGTACTCGAAATTTTAAACTAGAGGTTGATGCAAGCGCCGTGGGTGCTGGTGCTGTTCTTATTCAAGAGGATGAGAATGGGATAAAACATCCTATTAGTTATTATTCTCGTGAGTTTAACAAACATCAGCGGAATTATTCAACTATTGAAAGAGAAGCCCTTGCTTTATTGCTTGCATAACACTTTGAAGTCTACCTTGGTTCCAATAGTCTTTCCGATTGTGGTATATACAGATCACAATCCTCTTGTGTTTTTAACTCGAATGTACAACCACAATCAGCATTTAATGCGTTTATTGTCCAGAACTACAATCTAGAAATCAGACATAAGAAGGGTTCGGAGAATGTCTTAGCTGATGCTCTCTCGAGAGTATAGTTGGTATGTTTTTAGTTTTTTTTGCAAACGAGTTTGTTCTTAAGGGTGGGAGTGTTACGTCCATAAATGTCCTTGTGGGAGGGTCTGTGTTTTTCTTTCTCTCTCTCTCCTGCTTGCTCTCTCCCCTTTCCCTGTCGATCTCTTAGGCCACCTCCCTTGACTGCTGATTGGTTCATGAAGCTCAGTCATCGTTAAACAACGTGACGCCAACCTATCAGCTGCCAGTAAAGTTTATGCCGGCAGATAAAAGGACGCTGAAAGAAGTGAAGAGAGTAGTGATGCAAAGTCCGATTCATTTCCGCAAACTGGTTCTTTTCAGACAGTTCGGGTCATTGAACCGGTTCGAAAAACCGATTAATCGGTTCCTGACGTCATCAAGCAATAACGTCTCTACGCATTTCTTTTCTAACAACTCAGTGCCATGTTGTATCAATGAAAAATTCAAATAAGTCATTTGTGTCAACGCATATTGATACATTCAAAAATAAAGTTATTTGTGTGAAAGCATATTGCTGATTATTGCCATATAATTCGCTATATAAGTTAACATAAGTTCCCTTTCAGTCGGTCACTCTCGACGTCACGTCAGAGGACCGACGAATTGGGATCTCGCTTAGAGGGACCAATCTACTTCGAGTGTAAACTAAACGAGCCAATGCACATTGGCATGCGATTATTGCATCCAGCTGCTGCTGATCACAGCGTGAGTATAAGTAGGCAGCAGATGCAGCGCATATTCAGCTTTTCACTTCGGAGCCGAGCGATCACATCGTTC